GTGTGCATCTACTCTGTGGAATTAATGTAGCATGATACCACTATTAGCAGCCCTCCATGGAAGCAAGCCCTCCTCCTCCTCCACTTCCCCCTCCTCCTTACCCGTGAAACAGTGAGTAAAGTGAACCACAAACTAGTGAGGGAACACTGTAAGTCATTTTTAAAAGAAAAACAATAGATAATTTGTTGGAACTATGGTTCTTTGGGAGGGAGGTGTGGAGAATGGAGTGGTGTAGTACTAGCTCAGCAGGATAAACTCTCAGAGAAAGGAATAAAATATTTGTTGGATATTTGTTGGATGTTGGATAGGCTATCATAAGTATTTTTGATATAATGGACAGTTTTGATTTTAATGATTCATAGAGATTTTTAAAATATGAAAAATATTTTATCATTTTTGGGAGCTAGTCAGTGTTAGAAAGAAAATGTTACAGTACAGAGTTCTTGCTTTACTCTACATCTTCAACTACCTACCTTTGTTTTACTGTTTTGTGCAGTTTTAAACTGTTTCATTTGACATTGTTCTTAATGATTTTCAGAATCTGCTTTCTAAGCTGTAAAACTGAAAAGTTTTCTCTAAATGTTTTCACTATTCTTATTTACTCAGTGCTTGTACTGACAAATAAAATAGTCCATGAGGCAAAATGCCTACTTTTATAGATAAGCAGGTTTAGTCTTTTTCTCAATTTCCCATTTTGTTGTCATCAATAAGAGAAAATACTACTTAGTTTTGACACAGTGAAAAAAATCTCTTCTCACTGGCAGCTCTTGATTTCAAGATTCAAATTAGTTTACAAGTAACAGAAGACCATCGCTCATTACAAAGTGGTCAATAAAACAACCTGTGATGGTTTAAACTATACCAAATGAAAATTGAAGGTCAAGTCCCTTTAATTATCCCTTATCAGCATATACCTGATGTATTACACTGCAGACAGATAAAACACAGACTGCACTCCGCAGAAATCAATTTATTGGTTGCAGACATAATGGAAAAAGGTCATGATAAAGTTTAGGGTTTAAACAATAATGACATTGAGAAAACCACATAGATCTACATGATACCAATGCCTATATTTTATGCATACCACATAGAAAAGTCAAATGAGTTAGAAAATAGGAAAACCTTGCAAACACTTCTATCATGGAATACCAGGCAAAAGTTCACATCTTTCTTTCTTTCTTTCTTTCTTTCTTTCTTTCTTTCTTTCTTTCTTTCTTTCTTTCTTTCTTTCGACTTCACCTACATAAAACAGCTGCATTTACACTTTCCATTTTTCAACTACTAGTAACACTAGAAGCAGCCTTTTCACATGACAGCTAAGGGCTAGATTCACAGTTGTATAAATTCCATGATTGAAATGTAGTTAGCAGCATAGGTTTTCATAGACTTAAGTCTTATTTTATCAGCTACTTAGAGTAAAGCGAAAATAGTGGATTTGTTTTAAATCATTCAAAATGTCTGCTATGACTTCCGTCATTCCTTTCCCAGAATAATTCTTACATTACAGCCACTGCTGTGGATGGAGTTAATATAGTCCAAGAAAGGTAACATGCTTGAAAGGAAGCATTTGATATTCATGAATGTAGAGACATTATTTCTTTGGAAATTTAATCTAAGCCAATTTTACATATTAAGTGTTCCTTACTAAGGTGCTAAAGAGAAACATGCAGTCAGTGCATATCTTATACATTCTCAACTTTTATGGGCTTTAAATTAGATTATAGTTTTATTCATCATTTTGAGGAACAAAATGGCATGCATGTTTATTTGTTTGTAATATCACACTATTCATGTGTGCATTAAACAATTTGTTTTAACCCTTCTTGCAGTCAAGCAGTCAAGCAGTCAATTGGGGAAAATATTTTACACATTTACAAGAAGGTAATGCCCCTGTGTAGAAGGAAATGCATGAGATTGCATGAAATATATGTCTGTATTCTTGATATTAGCAGTGTTTCTTTTTCTATGAGCACTGGACAAAAATAGGACTAGATAATATTCCATTGTGGAGCTAAGACAAACGTCTATGCCTAACAACCTTCAAATTAAAAGGGTGGAGATTAAACAGCAAACATAGCTTTCATTTATCCCATTGCTCATCTGCAGTGGCAGCAAGCATTTTAGAGCCAAGCAATTTGAAGACAGCAACTCACTTTTGTACTTTTAAAACCAATAATAAGAAATATTTCTAGATGAAAGAGGACATTTGGGTTTCATAAGCCACAGAACAGCTCTCTGTTGTTAAGTTTCAAATCTTGAAAGCTTTCATAATGGCACTAGTCTAAAATATGTTGCAGATATGATAGCAGGGGATGGTAGTAATTGTCCTTCCTCAGCAGGGGTGGTTTGGGTGAATCGTTGTGAGAATATTGCCAACAATGACTATGACTCTGGTTATTTTGCTTTCATATCTTCTTTAAGTCATTGAAAAAACAGAGCAGATACTGTTTATATTTTTAGTCCTTGAGCAGTTAATTTATTTACAATAAATAGCAGGGGCCAGGCCCCAAGTTAAATAGGGGTGGGGGCCTTAAATCATTCTCCCCCACTACAATCATGAACACAAGTGTACTTCTTCCTAGTTCTTATTTGTGATGATAAGAAATCTCCCATTGGTCTCTTCCAGCAATCCTGCTACTTATCTTCCATATAAATAAAATTAAGGTCTTATCTGGGTGCTTTTCATTGCATCACATAAAAACAAGCAGATGGATTTCAACCCAATTTTGAAAATCCATTTGAGATGGTTTGATTTAAAACTTAAGGCCCATCCAGGCAGGGCCCATAATGCGGGAGCTCCCGCTGTTTTACTGGAAGCATCAAAATGATGTCTCCAGTAAAACAGAATCAATTTGATACAGCAGGGAAACCCTGCTTTGTCCCAGATTAATTTGACACTCCATTAGACCTGGGTCTAATGGAGTATGTGTCCTGTGGGGACTTACCCACAGGATCCATACTCCTGTGATAACCTGTGACTACCAAGGGATCAGTCCACACAGTCCAGTTTGCTTTTTGGGCCCCGTGGTCCTGGAGAATCGAAGAGGGAACCCATGCATTCACAAAATTGTCCCCCCCCCCCGGTTTCCTGGCACAACATTGGTACATTCCAGGAAGCATGTAGAGAGGTCTAATAGCGGCCTGGTGAGTTTATCTTTTATTTCAATGGTTTTGGGGGATTTAGGTTGCGCCCATTGTAGTGTGGTAAAAACTATAATAGGGACAACACATGGAAAATACTGCTTCTTTTGGGCACCAGTGTGGACAGTAGAATGGGAGAAAATGGGTTACTTTAACCCGTTTTCTTCCCTGATAGATTGTTGTCTGGAAGCTGCCCTAGATTAAGCAAAATCCATGTTTAGGGGGCTATAGGAACATTCCAATTATTTTTTCATGTTCTATCAGGTACTCTGTTGCATCATTTGCAAGATTTCAACAAGCTACATTAGGGAAATCATTTTTTTTACCTTATAATTTTTCACTTATAAATGATTTGAGAGATTTTAACTATATTTAGAGTATTTTGGATTATCTGATTTAAAACAGAAATTAGATGTTATATGTAAAAATTCTGGAGTGGCCTAGGTGCCCCAATTATTTTTTGTCATTTTTTAGAGAAGCACATGTTTAATAACTGATCAGGGGAGGCATTTTATCTCAAGGGTAATTGAAACTGATGTGGAACATTTCTGAACAACTGAAAATATGAGGAGTAATTCATTAATGACAGTGAATATACTTCCCAAGCAATGCTGAGATCAATAATCACTTAAGTAAAATAAAATAAAAATCAGCACACAGAAGACATGTACAACATCATGTATAGTTTTCTGGCAAGTGAAGGGCTTTATGACAATCAGTAATGATTTAATCTTATAGTGTAACATTTCATCTAGTACAAATTTAAACCATATGATACACATCAGAAAACTGAATACTAGGTATCTATCTCTATATATATCAACCTGATGTATAAATCAAGAGTAAGTTCTGGGGCCAAAATTATGGATTTTGATTTCACCCATTGATAGGTCAAGGGTAATTCTTCTGAGAGGGAAAAGCACCAATGCTGCCTCGCAGAATAAGCTGCCCATGGCCTAGCCATTACTTCCATTTATTTATTTATTTATTTATATCGGTTGCATCTACCCCGCCCTTCTCACCCCGAAGGGGACTCAGGGCGGCTTACAAAAGCAAGGCACAATTTGATGCCCGCATCATATAACAACAACAAGACAAAATAACATCAATTAACAGAAAACAGCAATTCTAGCAATACATCAATTAACAGAAACAACAATTCTTGCAAGGCGAAAACTACTATAAAACCAGTAAAAGCAATAAAACCAATACAAACCATTTCTCCTCATTGACGGTCAGCGTTTCGCAATCTCATAGTTCAAATTTCAATTCCACAATTGTCAGTCCTGTCAGTCCTATCCATCCGGTTGTCCATATCTAGTTGTCAGATTGCCCGAAGGCCTGGTCCCACAACCACATCTTTACCTTCCTCCTGAAGGAGAGGAGGGATGTTGATGCCCTAATTTCCCCCAGGAGAGAGTTCCACAGGTGAGGGGCCACCACTGAGAAGGCCCTGCTCCTCATCCCCACCAACCTCACTTGTGATAGCGGTGGGGTCGAGAGCAGGGCCTCCCCAGATGATCTCAAATTCCGAGGTGGGACGTAGAGATACGTTCGGACAGATACACTGGACCGGAACCGTTTGCCACCCATGTTTTCCATTTGCCACCCATGTTTTCAAAAAAGTCAGAAACAGTGTCATGGCAAAGACAGTACAAGGGGTCAGTGTTTCTTTTAGGTTCTCTCAGGATGGAGGGCTCTTGCCTTTTGTTACTTTACTCAGAGAAGGGGAAAGTTCTTTTTTTGATAATAAGGAATAATACTCACACTGAGCCATGGATAAGTTACTTTTTTACTATAATTTCTAGTCTTATACATGAGTAAATAGGGGACTAATGTTTTCAAATATTTCTTACCTCCAGAATGTGTTGGTGGCCCACACAGCAGAACAACTCCTTGCCCTTCACGGACTGATACAGTGCTTCTCATTTTTGTCTTCAAGTTTTCAGGATCTGTGTATGGTGGGGTTTCCCCAAAAGAAAGGAATGCATTAGTAAGTTGATAGCAACAAAAAAGGACAACATGTTTGTTTAAATATCATGGTTTTAAAACTAGTAACTTACTGTACATGCTATATTTATATAACTTACTTTTTGAATTAGGAAACCAGATTGCTACACATTTTCTAACTAAAATAGAATGTAGTTGGTAGATCCAGAGGATTGTATAAGGAGCAGGATACTTGAAAAGAAAACCACCTCTAACCTGAAACTGCTTATAATTTGTAATTTTTAGCAGTAGTTAATATGACTAAGGCAGGAGGTCAACTTATGAAATGAATGATAATGAAAATACATATCTTCCCAGTAGATAATGGATTCCTGATTAACAGCTCTTGCTACAAGCAATAAATTCTCAAAGGCCTTCTTCCTTAGAGAGGTCTTTGCCTATCAGCAGAAATAAAGCAGAAAGAGGACCATACTAGTCTGGCCAAATAAGGAATTCCACCCCCTAAGAAGCAGTGACCAAAAATACTGCCTTTCATTTCCTCATGCAAAGTGGCTATCTTGTTGGTGGGACTAATAGGAAGCCACTCACTGAAGATTTTAAAATTAAGGGAGACTCATATAAGGAGATACTGTCTAGGTTCTTGTGGGTTTTTTCAGGCTATAGGGCCATGTTCTAGAGGCATTTCTCCTGACGTTTCGCCTGCATCTATGGCAAGCATCCTCAGAGGTAGTAAGGTCTGTTGGAAATAGGACAATGGGTTTATATATCTGTGGGATGGCTGGGGTGGGGCAAAGAGCTCTTCTCTGCTAGAGCTAGGTGTGAATGTTTCAACTGACCAACTTCATTAGCATTAAGGCCTGCCTGAGTCTGGGAAAATCTTTTGTTGAGAGGTGTTAAGATGTGCCTGGTTGTTTCCTCTCAACTGTTTTGCTGTTGTAATTTTAGAGTTTTTTAATACTGGTAACCAGATTTTGTTCATTTTCATGGTCTCTTCCTTTCTGTTGAAATTGTCCACATGCTTGTGGATTTCAATGGCTTCTCTGTGTAGTCTGACATGGTGGTTGTTGGTGTGGTCCAGCATTTCTGTGTTCTCAAATAATATGCTGTGTCCAGGGTGGTTCATCAGGTGCTCTGCTATGGCTGACTTCTCTGGTTGAAGTAGTCTGCAGTGCCTTTCATGTTCCTTGATTCGTGTTTGGGCAATGCTGCGTTTGGTGGTCCCTATGTAGACTTGTCCACAGCTGCATGGTATACGGTAGACTCCTGCAGAGGTGAGAGGATCCCTCTTGTCCTTTGTTGAACGTAGCATTTGTTGGATTTTCTTGGAGGGTTTGTAGATTGTTTGTATGTTGTGTTTCCTCATCAGCTTCCCTATGCGGTCAGTGGTTCCCTTGATGTATGACAGGAACACTTTTCCTCTGGGTGGATCTTCATCTTTACTCTCGTGGCTTGTTCTTGGTCTTGCAGCTCTTCTGATGTCTGAGGTGGAGTATCCATTGGCCTGGAGAGCCCAGTTGAGGTGGTTCAGTTCATCTTGGAGGAGGTGGGCTTCGCAGATTCTTTTTGCACGGTCTGCAAGGCTTTAATGGTGCTTCTTTTTTGACTTGGGTGATGGTTGGAGTTTTTATGTAGATATCTATCTGTGTGTGTGGGTTTTCTGTAGACGGTGTGGCCCAATTGTTGATCTGGTTTGCGGATGACTAGGACATCTAGAAAAGGCAGTCTTCCTTCATTTTCTTTTTCCATGGTGAATTGGATGTTTGGGTGGATGCTGTTGAAGATGGTCCAGGAACCTGTTGAGTTCTTCTTCTCCATGGCTCCAAATGGTTAAGGTGTCATCCACATATCTGAACCATATAGTGGGCTTTTTGGTTGCTGTCTCCAGGGCTTGTTTTTCAAAGTGTTCCATGTAGAAGTTAGCTATGACCGGGCTGAGAGGGCTCCCCATAGCTACTCCATCTTTCTGTTCATAGAATTCATTGTCCCACTGAAAGTAACTGGTGGTGAGGCAATGGTGAAACAGAGCCGTGATGTCTTCTGGGAACCTCTGGTTGATGAGTGCCATGGTGTCTGCTACTGGGACCATGGTAGAGATACTGTCTGCCAAGTGATATAATATTTGGTAAGATTTCTAAATTAGCATTGGACAAATGGTGGGCAATTACTTTGAGAAATTGCTTAAATAGCATCTAGAAACTGGGACCAAAGGATAAACTGACATGTGCAGATAACCGCTACGATCAGTTTATTGATATGTGATATACTACTAAGATGTTTGCTGGAACATAATCTCTATATGGTCCTCCATCCATTTACTGATGGTTTCAATAATATATTTTTATAAATAAAAGGAAAGTTGAAATATTATGGGCTTTTTTAATTATTGCAATCTGGCAGAGAGTACAGGGTGACAAAGGCAAGGACAAACAGATTGAGAAATTGTTTCTATCCTGGAGCTGCAACTACACTGAACTTCATGGTTTCAAATTGATATGGCCTTGGGGACTGTGCAGTGGTGGTTGAGGTGTGGAGGGATTGATGTGTTGTTTTGTGGTGTATGCTGGGGAAAGCTTTTAATTTCATTGTGTAATAGCACAATGACAATAAAGTTATTAAATTTACATATAGCTGTAACAATGTGATGTGATATTAGCAAAGTTTTTCTGTCATTAATGTGGTTAATAGTTAAAAGAGGAGGAAAGACAGTAGTTTAACATATATATTTGATTTAATCAGTTGTGATTCCAGTGAAGTATGTCAGGGGAAAGTTCAGAAATGAAAGGCCAATTTTGGATTTTTCAATCCCAAATCATAAAGAAGACTTAAGAAAGAAGAAAGGAAGTCCATTCATCCTCAACCAAGAATCAGTTCAGGTGGCTTCAAGAAAGCTGAGTTTTATTTACAACTTTAAAAATCAAGATTGTTCTGTTACAGATGTTCAATAATAGACTCAAAGGACGTTTTAATGTAAATTATCTTTTTTGCAATGCATAATAAAAATGGTGGATCAACCAAAAATAGTTAGGGTCTGAAGTGTAATTTCACACCTAACATTAAAAAATCAACAACAGATGTTCACACCAGCCCCTTTCCAGCAATAATTTGGTATCTTAGTGACTTGTTATTTTAAAAGACAAACTGTTGAACGCAGTAATGCTAGCACTGGTATAGCGTAACCTCATTCAATCTTTTAAAAAGCTTTTAGAATATCTAAATAACACACCTGTGAGCTCTTGATAACAAGTTAGCAAAATGCAAAAAAACAAAAAAAAAACTCTTGTAGCACAACGTTTTAGGAAACACATTCTCATTCGTTCATAGTAGCATATTTAATCTGAAATGTTCACAGGAAAGGAACAGAAACATTCTGCTACTGGCCCTGAATGTTATGCTTTGACAATCTTTTTCTTGTTAATGGATCATTTAAATTCTATCCACTCTTTTAAGTTCAGTACATCATAGATTGAAGTAGTCACTTCTTGTCTGCTGAGTGGAGGAACAGTAAACCAGCAGATTACACTCTAAACTTGAATCTAATGCTCATGTTTTTTGTTTTTGTTTTGTTTGTTTTTTGCTAAATGACCTTGCCAAACTTTGGGTGCCCATTAGATCCACATAATTTGGTAATCTGAGTGTTGAGCCAAAGCAAAAGAGGAAGCTGCTTCAGGAGCCCCTAGAGCTCCTATTTGAGGGGCATCATATATAATTTAATGGTCATAGCTCAATGTTATACAGTCCTGGGATTTGTAGTTTGGAGAGGCATCATTATTCTTTGGCAGAGAAGGCTCAAGGCCTTGCAAAACTAGAGCCACCATGATTCCATAGCATTGAATGAAGGCCATTAGAGTGGATTCATTCTACAACATAGATTCATCCCAAGGTTTTGTTTTCCATTGCTAGGATCTTTGGTGCTCTAACACTTTTGTGCTGAAAGAGAGAGTTCAGCAAGCAGCAAGTGTAATGTGTACCTTCTTTGGCTGAATTACAAATAGTGCACTTTCTGCCGCTGTGCATTACATTTGGCAGAAAATCTTCTTCTTTTTTTTAGTTCCAGGGGGATTTTGAAAATTTAGGTGCTCATTAGATTTGATGTCATGTTAGACTCGAGTAAATGCAGTAGCTACTAGGAGTTCACATGATTTAGTTTTGTGTACCAGATTTGAATGATTCAAAGGATTCAGCTGCCAAATGCATAAAAATGAGCATGGCACAGGGCAGCTGAAACCTTAGCCAGAACAGATCACAGTACTTGATCGTTTTGGCTACTGGGTGCTTATAATGGGAGACTAATGGGGCTGAGTGGCACTCTACCTGAGGCAGAGGTGATGGCACGTGGACACGGCAGCCTTGCTAATCAGAAGTCCTTCACTTTCTTCCCCAGCAGGTTCCTCTATCCCTTCCCAAAGGCCCTCCCGCAGCACCTGCTTGAGGAAAATGGGAACTCGCTTTCCCAGCAGCACTTTGTGCAGCACAAACATTGAAGGAGCCTTGTGCTCTCTCCCTGGACATGATGGGACTTGAGGTTTCTCTCTCTCTTTGCTTCTCACTTTCTTTTTCAGCCGATCAGAGGTCTGGTTGACTGTGTCCATCCATTCTCCTCCCCTCTTACGGCATGCACTTGGGTCTTCAATTCTCAGAACCATATCTTATGGGGTTTTTTTTAAAAAAAATGCTATGGTAATAAATTTAAAATTTTCCAAAAAATTAGTGGATTGGTGAAATATTCTGAAACTTGGCAGGCTTGAAGTAGAAGATGTGGCCTATAAGTCAGGCAGGATAGGCCTAATAGACATGTGCATAATTTTTGGAAGTTATGTAAATATGAAGAAAATTCAGAAGTTTTGTACATCTGAAGCAATATCCAATGAGTTTGCATAGCCCACACCAAAAACTGCATTTCCCAGAATGCATTAGCATCAGAAAGTTCCCATCAAGATGGGGAGAGATTTGTCCCTCCATAACAGCAGCCAGCCAGAATTTCATTACACTGTTGAGTCTGCAA